AGGAAGATGGTGATGGGGCGTGGTGGGCGGGCGCGAGGTAGGGGTGGCGAGGAGGAGGGGACGTGGGGATTTTGGGGGGGAAGGGGGGGTGGCGGGGAGGAGGGGACGTGGTCTTATTTGGGGGGGAAGGGGGGTTGGTGGCGGGGGGGAGGGAGCGAGGGCGGGGTGGTTCACAGGAAAGGGATTTCGGCGAAGCCACTTCATCATCGATCATGAACTAGAGAGCAGCCTCCCCGGCTTCTCTCCATTTCATGATCGATGCCAAGGAGGCATTGGATTTCAAAAAGCTGAACTCTGGGTGCTGAACTTTGGGTACCCTTCTGCCGTCCGATGGTGCTCCGTTTCCTAAACAGAGTGTAAAATGCTAGCAAACGACTGTCGCAAATTTCACGTGGGCGTCGAGGCGGGGGAGGGCCGAGTTGTGCACATAAAATGGCGGGAGAAGGTACTGTGTCTGGTTTGTAATGTTGAGAGAACTAATGTTTTGATCTGCATGTGCTCGTATTTGGATTTAATTCCACCCTTTCATTGTACTGCAAGTGCCACTGCACCGCATCGAGTCCATGGAATTTTAGTAGTGTGCATATGGACTGGGTGTGGATTGGTACTTCCTTTAGCCAATGGATTTCGACCAGTTCGCAGAATTACCAAGCATTACAGTGGTTCTGTGTAGCATTCGTTGTGGCGTGCGATTAATTTAATGAAATGATCCGGCCAATAGCGTGACCGCAACTGGTTGAAGGAAAACAAAAGAAAAGAAAAGCGCCTGTTAGGACTGGCCCTGAGGCCAAGACATCGGGAACGGGGATCGCAGAGAATAGTGGTGAAGAGAAGGAAGCAGCGGAGCTAGCGGAAAAGGATCAGATGAGTGCCTCGTAGTTGTGGTTGTGAGAGGGGAATGGTGCCCTGTAGAATGAAATGATTTCTGTTTTTACTGGAATAAGGGAGGCAGCTGCGCTGACTGGCTCGTCGGTCGCCACCTCAACGTGAGTGCGGGCGCAGCAGCTTGGGGGCAGGAATGAAAGGGGGTGACTAATACCTAGGACGCGCTATCTACGTCCCCAGTGAGAATGGTGTGTTTTATTTTCACTAATCAAGGGGGGCCGATGCCATATCATAGGGCAGGCTTCAAGGACTCACACTTGGGCGGGACAAGATGAGGCCGCGCCATGATAAGGCATGCGGGCGAGGGTGGCTGAGGCAACGCTTGACCATATGGCATAACTAAGACGCTGAGAGAGACGAGACTTTGCAGTACCAAAGGTGGTACCGGTGCGGATGGCAATTTGATGGGAGAGGGACTCGAGGACAGATGTAGAGCGGGCGCTGGGAGCGCCCAGCGTGTCGAACACAAGAAGCACAAAGTGCCAGTCCAGAAGAGGGGGCCAGGCGTCGGCTTGAAGATGTAGAGCGGAGCGGATGATGCAAGCGTGCGTGCTTAGCTTGTCAGCATCCGCCACTTCGGCGGCGTCGGCTATACCGCGAGCAGCCGGGATGAGGGCCCCCACGCGGTAGGGGCTGCGGACAGTGACATCGTAAGCCATAGAACGGTCTGGCAGAGCTCCCGCAGGAGGCGGAGCCGACTGAACGAGGAGATCGGCGGGGCGGTGAGCCGCGACAGGGATGAGAAAAGGGACTTCCATATCACAACTCAATCCTGCGGCGCGGAAAGCATGTCGTGCCAGAGTGTTCCGCACCGTGTTGTGACGATGCACAGTACCGAAGCCGTGCTTGCACATGGCGGCATGGTCAGAGAATGGTATGAGATACAGCCACGCGTAGTGTGCGAGCCATATAAATACCTCTCGAAATGCCCGTCTTATCGCGGATGACGATGAAGCAAGACTGTTGGCTGTAGCTGAGCTGGCAGAACGGTAGAGTTGTCAAAATGGCCGGCTGGTACGTTCCCAAGCGTGAGTTCGAGCCCGGTCCCGGAATGTCGCGGTCAAGGGGGTAACTGTATGGTGTGCATGCCGGAGGAGAATTGGCAAATTTTCTTCCACTATACTGCCAGGGGATTTTAACCCCTGGTGCATTTTCGCCCTCCACTGTAAGCCGTTTTAAAACAAAAATTAGCATGCAGTGCAGCGCACTACCCTTCGCCTTATCCCAGCCATCTGAAATCATCTTCACGAAACGCAAAGCATAATTCCAAGAGAGAGGCATGTGTCGCAGACGGGCGGGTAGAGTGGGGAAAAAGAGAGGCATATCAGCGTCCTCTTCGGCCTTCTCGGCCTCCTCCTTTCCATCCACCTCCTTCTCTCCAACCTCT